ATCATTGGTGACTTTCACCAATGCAGTTTCTGTACTATGATGGACTCTAAATCCTGACTGAAAATCCTCAAACAAATCATTATTGTGCAAGTGGTCACATAACTGCTTGGCAACAGCTTTTTCAAGGATTTCAGAAATCAACGGGAGATTTAATGTCTGTCTATAATTAACCAGAACACCTTGGTCAACAGTAGGCTTTTTGAGTAGAGGTTTAATTACAGAAACCTTAAAAAATTTGTGGAACATAACCTGTTAATTGAGAGAGGTTGATCAGATCTAATACTGACGTGTTGATTAGGGGTAAAACGTGTTTGAGTAGCCTGGTTGGGTTGGGATCTAAGAGACATGTTGATGATTTAGATGAAGCAGTTGTTGAGGTCAACTCAGAAAGATCTATGGGAGAGAAGTAGTCTAATTATAAATGAGGTCTTACAGATGTTTCTAAAGCCATTGTACTTGATGACACATCTGTGAGAGTTATTGGAAGGATCCTAATCATTTTTTCTCTAATAGCTGTGATTTTATTTGTAAAGAAGCTCATGAAGTTATTATTACTAAGATCTAAGTGAATATTAGGCTCAACAGCACTGTGGCTCTTTGTCAGCCTGGCTACAGTGCTAAAAGGAAACCTGAGGTTCTTATTTTCCTCTATCAGTGATGAACCATATGCAGTTCTGGCACTACGAAGGGCTTTTTATATGTTATTAAACTATCTTTCCAGGCTAGGAAGTGGTCTTTCATCCAAATACAGCATAACCTATCATTAAAGCCCCTAATGCTGATTTTCACCCTGGTAACTAGCTACTTATGTGTTTAGAAATTAGAAAGCCACAAATTTTAATGCTCTCCACTTCAGACATGCCAAGTCGATGGCATGTCCCTGGTTTAGCCTTGTGCTTTGCTGCACTCTTTCTGTGCTACAAAACACAGCCTCTTGGGTCTAACAGCTCCGCTCCCATCCTGGGTTGTACCTGCACACGGAGCTTCCATGGTCTGTTGTTGAAATGAGCCATACTGGTTTGAAAAACACATCTTATAACACTAGCCACAGAGTCCTGAAGATAGCAGAATGGGGTGGGGGGTGTACTACAGCAGAGAGACAAGACTTCTAAACAAGTTTTTACTTGTTTTATCTGAATTTGATGATGATGATGATGATGATGATGATGATGATGATGATGATGATGATGATGATGATGATGATGATGATGATGAGGGTGATGATTTAAAACAATGATTTAAAACAATGTACAAGTGTAAAACAATTTAAGAATAAATACAAAAAGGCCTGCATAGCTGGGTATCGGATACAGGAAGTGTAATGATCTTATTAAGATATTATCGGTGTATTTATGGGTGGGATATGAATAATTTATTGTTTATCATTTGTTTTCTAATTATGTAAGTGTGATTTGTGGTTAGAAGGAATGTAGTAATTTGGTGGTTGCGGGAACCTAACCAGTGTAGTTGTTTAGTTAAATACTTGGGTTGTGTCAACCATAGTTTGGATCACTAGGGGTAGAACTAGATAAGTATTACTTCTTTCTACTCCCTTGCAAGCATGTAATGACTAAGCATCATCAAGAGAAATTTCTATTTTTTGGTTGTATATGGTAATTGGTTTGATTGTTTTGTGTTACATGTTGATTTCTTTTTTTAATTTTTTTAAAATTATTTTTCTCTTTGTTTCTCTCTGTATTACATGCTTGGAATTAATTAATAAAAAAAATTGTGCTAAACCTTAATGTAGCTTTAAGAATCAGTGCAACTTGTTAATTAGGCTGCCTTAAAACTGCTGTTGAGGCTGATGCCCACCATAGATGTTCTGCTGATTTTACTATAATTGCAGTTAGTTCAGTTTTAACTATTTTGGCCTCTGATGTGCTGAAAAGAAACCTGGGGTTGTTCTTATTTCCCTCAATCAGTGATGAACCATATGCAGTTGTGGCACTATAAAGGCCTTTTTTATATGTTATTAAACTATCTTTCTAGGCTATGAAAAACTCTTCTGACTTAGTGGAGCTCCACTTCCTTTCCAGTTTTCGTGATGCCTGCTTTAGGGAGCAGAGCTGCGAACTGTACCACAGGGCCTTCATTTTCAGAGGGGCAACAGTATCAAGTGTCGTACGCAAGGAGGCTGCAGTGCTATCAACAAGATTATCGACTTGTGTGGGAGTAAGGTTAAGGTGGCCTCCTTCCACTGTGTTGGCAAACGGCACTGAAGTAAATAATGATGGAATTATTTCCTTAAACTTGGTAACAGCATTGTCAGATAGACATCTACTGTAGTGGAATTGTTTCCCACATAGAGTATAATCCATTAATGGAAATTCAAAAGTTATTAGAAAATGGTCAGACAGAAGAAAGTATTATTAAGTGTTCAGTTTCGATGCCATACGTCAGAACAAGATCAAGAGTGTGATTAAAACAGTGAGTGGGTTTATTTACAGTTTGAGAAAAGCCAACTGAGTCTAATAATGAACAGAATGCATTGTTGAGGCTGTCATTGTCGGCATCTACATGAATATTAAAGTCGCCTACTATGATTATTTTATCTGTACTAAGCACTAAATCAGACAAAGTCTGAGAATTCACTTAAAAACTCTGAATAAGGAGCAGGTGGATGGTAAACAATAAGTTTGAGTTTTCCAGTTTGGGTGTGAGACACTCAAGGTGAGGCTTTCAAATAAGTTATAACTATGTTTAGGTCTAGGGTTGATTGATAGGCTTAAGTCAAAGCTCGATGCCACACCTCCACCTCGGCCTGTGCTGCAAGGGATGTGACAGTTACTGTGACCAGCTGGAGTGGATTCATTTAGACTGACACACTATATGGTGATGTGCCGCAACACCCAGTGAACACAATGTCATCATCTTTGTCAGTGTTTCATATCCTGTGCAGTGCATCCCAGGGTTTAACAAGCACAGTTAATGAGCATTGTGCACACACCTGGTTTTGCTGGTCAGTGGCGCAGTCATATTACCACCGTGCCCAAAGTCTCCCTGGACACACCTTAGTTTAAAGAGCTTAAGTGGTCTTAGCCTTGTATAGCGCCTTTCTACACTTTACAGCACACTCAGTGCACTTTCACACTACTTGGCCATTCACCCATTTGCACTCACAAATTCACACACCAGTGTTATCACCGGAAACAACTGGGGGTTCAACGTCTTGCTCAAGGATACATCGACATGTTGACTGTACAAGCCGGGACTCAAACCTCTAATCCTCCGGTTAGGAAACGACCCGCTCTACCTCGTAAGCCACAGCCGCCCACAATCAAGTCAAGTCAAATCAAGTCAGGTTTCCACCCTAATATTTAAGGGGATGAGATGAGTTGGTTTGATTGGACATAATTAAAGCCAGCCCCGACTCCACCCGTTCACTATTTATTTCTCCCTCCAGTAATGTATTCCGCCTCTCCTTTACAATGTGCCCAGCAACACCTGGCTATGGATGAAATGGTGCTGCATAAGTGGTCACCAAAATTTACGTCCATATGTCTGTTACACCTGTAGTTTAGACACAAGTTTAGCACTGTGCCCTGTTGCAGGAAAACAGATCATGTTTTACTGCCATTACTTATTCTGTTTATTCATATTTATATTTGAGTGTTTTATTTTCTGTTACTTTCACATATTATATATCATTGGCTCATTTACATTATCAGTTTATGTGCATTGGTCTCATTGTTTTAAATTGTTAACATTTACTTTACACTTTCATTGCATTATTCTTTTTGAAAGCTGCTATATAATGTTTTGACTTATTTAATCACTCACAGCTGTAGTCTGAAATAATTTGCCTGAGGATATGCTATTGTACCTATGTGAAACACAAGATTGTTTCCTCAGAAAATGTTGGTTGTCAAATGTTTGGGCGACATTTGTCATTAGCTGTGCTGTTATCAGTGGGTACTTCATGATATTATCCTCATCACTGTAGTTGTACCATGTAGACATTTACAGCAGTAACCATAATATTATACAAAGAAAAGCCACAAGCTATATATATTATATATATATGTATATCTCATTTATGCCACAGTAAGTAAGTATGTGGGACAGTAAGTATGGCAGAGCCTTGATTCTTTGAAAATAATAATGGCACATTAATTAATATTTTCACCACCAATAAGAGGTTATTTTAAACAATAAAATGTATTGTTTTAATCCATCCAGTTATGTGAGTGTGTTTCAACATAATAGTATGTATTGTGGCTTTTAATAAGATAGTAGGTTGCCAGATAATTAAGGGCGCAGGATTCTTAGTGTATGCAGGGGGTATTTATAAAAGCAGAAGACGCAGAATGAGAAAGAGGGAGTCGGCCATTTAAAACAGCTTGTCAAGCCGACAACATAATTATAGGCTCAATTTCAAATTGAACCTTTTGAACTGTCAATTGAACAGTGTTTTCCCACTGCCTTCTGCTTTTCTTTCACACAGACACACACACACACACACACACACACACCCCAACTTAATTCTTTCAATTTTAGGCTTGGAGTCTTGGCTGGCACTCTGAAAATGGCCGATATTCTATTCAATGCTAGAGAGGGTTATATTTTCCTACCAACACACACAGATGCGACACAAACATAAATCATCACAAACATCAAGACTTTATTGCAGTGTGGAAAATGTTAAAGTTTGAAAAGTATTTCAGAGAGAAGCCATGCATGCAGCTGTTTCTCAGATGAAGATGTGATTTTTTTTCCTCTTCTGTTTATAAGGCCTGATTGCTGGTATATTTGTCAGGCTGACAGGAACATAGAGGGGCTACGAGAAAGCAGGCCCTGAAAACATACAATATAGAAAATATGGTCTTTACTTAATCAAATGTTATATATACACAATATGTACCTATAAATATATATATACATACATATATACATACATACATATATATATATATTTTTTTTTTTTCATTAATCCATTTTGTTCAAATATGCTCTAAAACATATCTTTATGTGAAGAGGTGCTGCCAAAGGCTTCTCTAGAGACTCACTGAGAGACTTGATGAGGTATCCCATCAAATATGCTGCTGTGTTGTTTCCAGTGAAATACAGGACACAGATGATTTACAAATCACTATTTTTAGTTTTAATTTTGATTTTACACAGTCATAGCTTCTTCTGATTTAAGGTTGTATTATTACTGTACTTATTACTCCCCGTCAGAACTACCGTGCTCCACTACTTGTTATTTACTTTTACATTGGTGCCCAAAGGGGGACAAGGATCTGTCTGAAAGACAGAGTCAGTAGTGGAAATGGACAACATTTCACCTACCACACATCCAGCCTGTGAAGGCCTCAGCCCTGGTCTTCACCATGTGACAGCCTAAGCTGCCACCAGCAGTGGAATTGGTTAGGCAGTGGTCTTTTGCTTTCATTTAGTTGTCTTTGTCCACGTGTGTAGCTTTAAGTTGTAGGTAGATTTTAGGTATTTGATTTGACATTGGGTTTAAACATACACAATTAATCAATAAAGTATACACATTTGGTTAATTTTGTATCATCAATACATTGTTAATGTGTGCAAATCTTCAAATCTTCTTTTTGAGTTACCGTGTTCCTGGTCCATGGATGGGGGTGGTCCTGACAAAAAGACTGGGCTGAGGCAGCAGCAGGCTTAAATACCTGCCATTAGGCCTGGACTGTACCAAATGCCCAACACAGGAAAGGGGATTTGGGAAAAACATATTGGTCATTTGTTTGTAGCTGATGTTAAAACTTTGTAAAGTTATGGTGTTTTCCTGATTCTAAAAAAATATTTAGTAGTTAGCAGAATCTCTGTCTAGTATTTATTGGTAGATTATTTAGTTAGTGTCTTTGTCCGTTCCCTGTGTGTGTTACTGGTTTGGCCAGCCAGTATATACTGTACATTATGTCCCCCACTTGTGTCATTTGTCAGCTCAGTTGGTTTTTGTTTGAGGTAGTGTGCAGTTTAATTTGTTGTATTGTAATGCCTTTGGTTAAGATATAATGGGTTGTTTTAGGGCCCAATTGGTTTGAAATCTGGCTGTGTGACCGAGGTAAAATATATATATTGAACACAACTTGACACGTTGATATACAAGGAGTTGAAATTTATTATTGATGTGTGGAAAAAAGGTATGAAAAATTGGCCCACTGTGGGAGAAGATCTTAAAGATTTAAGAACAGGATGTACTCAGTTCTCCTTGTTCTTGTTAATACTCTAGCAGCAGTGTTTGAAAGAGCTGAAGTTGCAGTCTATCTTTCTGGAGAGACCAAACAAAAGACCATTACAATAGCCAGCCTGCTGGAGATGAAGGGATGGATTACTTTTTCTAAATCTTGTCTGGACATGACACCTCAGAGTCTTGCTATTTGTTTGAGTTGATAAAAAGCTGATTTAGTTGTGGTCTTGATTCAGGTGGGAGCCAATTATGACACCAAAATTTCTAACCTGGATTTTGTCTTCATAGCTGCATAGCTCTAGACTTGGGTCCTTTCCTACTGGTTGCCAAAAACAATAACTTCAGTCTTGTCTTTGTTTAACCTAAGTATATTGGATTGCATCCAGGAATCTACTGCCTCTAAGCAGTGACAAAGTAAGTCTAAAGGGTATCGCTCACAGGCGGTGTAGTGTTGCGGCTCGTAATGTGATATACATCACACCAGTCCCGTAACACACGCTGAGAACAGCATGAAAACAGTGCAGGACTACTAAAATGGGTGAATACTTTAGTATTTTATGATTTACACAGATGCAGTTTATACCCAAAAATCACAAAACCAAGTAGAGTAACAGCCCAGCATGCGACACTAATAGATAATATATTTACCAATGATATTGAAAGCAAAATGACAAGTGGATTACTTATAAAT